TTCGATTTCGCCGCGGCCTTTCCGTCTGTGGAGCACGACATGATGTTCGCGGTTTTTCGGGCGTTCCGATGGCCCGCTTGGCTCCTCCAGTTCATCTCGTGCTTGTACTACCGCAACTCGTGCTTCATCGCATTGGGCGGTGCTCGACACGAGGGCTTCGACATGGCCCGAGGCATCCGGCAAGGATGCCCGTTGTCACCGCTGCTTTTCGCAGTTGCGTCCGACATACTGCTGCGTCGTCTGAGCCGTCGCGTGCCTGGAGTCTGCGTGCGCGCCTATGCCGACGACACTGCGCTCGTTCACGCAGCCCTCTTGCGGCACCTTGGCAACTTACAGGGTATCTTCACGGAGTACGAGACCATCTCCGGCCTCAAGCTCAACATCGCGAAAACGGTTCTCGTTCCCCTTTTCCGGCACGATCGGGACGCGGTGCGGCGCCATCTGGCCAGGGAGGCTCCGCTATGGGGCGCTTTCCCTATCGCGGAGAAGGCCAAGTACCTTGGCATGTTTGTCGGTCCGGGGCGGGGATCCAGTTCGTGGGAGGCGCCTGTGAAGAAGTTCCTCGACCGAGCCACGCTGTGGGGTCGCATGGGCGTCGGTTTCTTTCACACCCTCCTGGCGTACCAGGTTTTCGCGTGCTCAGTCGTGATGTTCGCGGCTCAGCTGGACCCTCTGCCGTCCGACTTCGACGCCGTCGAGCTCAAAGCGTGCCGCGCGCTCTTCCCTGGCCCCAAGGACTGGTTCTCCGTGGAGGCTTTCCGGGACCTCAAGACGCTGCACTTCCCGAGGGCGTTGCCGGACGTCCGGTCCGCTGCCAGAGCGGCGCGAGCCAGAGTCGCTCGTTTCGAGAACTCCAGGCACGGGGGGCTCCGGATCCAGGCGCGCGCCCGCCGGCTCCTTCAGGTGAGCCGGCTGGTCGCGAACCAGCAGCGAGCGGCGCAGTTCTCGGAGTACGTCAGCCAGAACTTCTTGTTCACCCTTCGGGACGCCACTTCTGAGTTGGCAGCGGCTGAGCGGAGCGTGCGCTCTGCGTCCTCTTTGTTGGATTCCGCCGACCCGGCTGCTCAACAGCGGCTCGGTTGGCAGGCCCGTGCTACGCGCATCTTCCAGGCCGCCTCCCGCCCTTCTGCTGCCTCGCACGTCCGGAAGCGCCTGGACAAGTGGCAACTTAACATTTTGCCGGGCCGCCGCCCAGCACGGTGGATCAACGTCCTCGCCCTCTCCTCGCCCCTCCTCCCTCCTCGTGTGCAGGCTTGCCAAATCAGGACCGCTTGGAACGGTTGGATCACGGCACGCCGTTTCGGCCGTTCGGGCCGTTGCGTGTTGAATTGCACCCGCGGGGAGGACAGCCTGCAGCGCCACGCTTTCTGCAGTGCGTTTCACTCCCTCTGTCGTCAGTGTCTCGGGGGCTGAGCCGGCCACCGGCTGAGCACTGCTTATGTGACTTCCTAGGCATTCGCCCGTACGCGCAGTCGCTCCCAGCACACTGCCAGGACCAGCACGCTACGGCTACTGCGGCGGCCCTCCGGGCGATAGGTGTGTACGCGTTGTACAAGACGCACAATGCGATAAGGCATGGTCTCCCGGGCGCCGACGGGCAAGCGGCATTCCGCGGTTTTATTCGCGATGCGGCCCGGGGTCACCCGAAAGCCCGGCACCTCGTCCAAATCGTTTTGAAAAGACCCGCGCCTGCAAGCTAGAACGCCATCTCGACATCATTTAGTGTAGTTGTTTGTGAAAGATTTTTGCATTCTCCATTCGGTCGTACTTCGGCGCGCCAGCTCGGCCGCGCGTTCGCGTTTCCCTCCCCCCTCCTGTCCTCCCTTCCTCCTCCTCCTCCTCCTCCTCCCGCTCCCGTTTCACGATATGTACAACTTAGCGCTACCATTGCGCCTTCGACTCGACAAAAACCGAGGGCGGTTTATATCAGTATATCTCGCGGCACCGCGCCCTGACAGGTTTGTTTTGTTCCCCTCTCCCCCTCCTTGTCCTCCCCTTCCTCTCCCCCCCTCTGGTTCGATAGCAATCAGGGCGGCTTTGCAACGAACGCAGGCTCAGCTGTTGGTCGGATTATCGGCAGCCGTTGGCGGTTTCATTCAGGAGCGGTGCGTTTTATTTGGTCCGGGCTCCAATTGCACGCCTTCGTAACCCGAACTGGCGCGTTTGATATTTCCCAGTTCGCCTGAGGCGTCTTTCAGTGCCTCCTCTTCTTCCTCCTCCTGCCTCTCGTCGTCCTCCTCCTCCTCCTCCTCCTCCTCCCTGAATGTGGTGACGTTTACCCGGCCGGCCACCTTCGGTATCTACAGCTATGGAGTTTCAACGCCATTCGCTGCGGCTTTCGATGGGTGCGGTGATAGCCCCCTTGAGGGGAAGCGGACCTGACCCTCATCACGTCTTGTTGTGCTGTTTGCGTCTGAGGGTGGCGTGGCCCCCGGACTCCCCGGCACGATATGCGAGAATGAAAAAAAAAAAAAAAAAAAAAAAAAAAAACGCGGCGGACGTTCACACCGCTTGTTGTTTTGAGGGAGAAGGGGGAGGGGCTCTTCCTTCGAAAAACAGAAAGGATAAACGAAAAACGCTGCGGACGCCTTTGTTTCTGGGTGGTGGTGGCGGTGGTGTGCTCAGCAGTGGCTGGTCGGGCCCAGTAGGCTTTGGCAGGGCTTACCAGGGTTCAGCAGGGTGAACCAAGGCTTGGCAATGAGTTCCGAGCTGTAGCAGGGCTCAGCAGGGCTCAGCAGGAAATTCAGGCTTCGCAAGGATTCGCAGGGATAAGCAAATCTTTCGACGGCTGAGCACTGCACAAGACGACTTACCAGGACTTAACCAAGGTTTGCCAAGGATGAGCAAATCGTATCCAATGTCAGCCCAGTTTCACAGAGCTTGCCAGACCTTAGCAGCGCTTTCCAAGGCCTGCCAAGACTGAGCAGGACTTGCAAGAGCTTGCGAGGGCTGAGCAGAGCGTGGCAAGGGCTATCCAGGCTTAGGGGCTCACCAGGGTTGACCATGGCTTAGCCAGGCTTAGCACAGCTTAGCAGGGCGGGGCAACACTTACCTGGGGCCAGCAGGGCGCACCAGGATTTAGCAGGGCCTTGCAGAGCCTGCCAGGGCTTAGCTGTGGCTAGCAGTGTTCAGCAAGGCGTACCAGTACATAGCAGGGCGTTGCAGAGGTTGCCAAGGCTCAGCAGTGCCCTGCAGGTTCCGTTGGGTTTAGCAAAGTTGCCAAAGCCTGGTCAGGGTTTAAGAAGGCTTAGCAAGGCCCACTAGGCCCAAACAGTGTTCAGCAGGGCACAGTAAAGGTCAGCCGGGCTAAAGACTTCGCAAGAAGCAGCAGGGCTTAGCAAGGTCTGCAAAGGCTGAGCAAGGCTCAGCAAGGTTTAGCAGGGCTTAACCAGACTTGCTATGCTTAGCTGGGCTCAACAAGGCTTACCAAGCTTGGGAGGGCTTCGCAGAGTTTAGCAGGGCATCGCAAAGTTTCCCAGGGCTCGGCAGGGCGTGCAAGGACTTGGCCAGGTTTTACATAACTTACCAGAGCTTAGCAGTGGCTAGCAGGACTCAGTAGGGTTCTTGCAGGGTACAGCAGGGTATTGCAAGGCCAGCCAGGGCCTGGAATGAAATACAAATGCTTAGCAATGCTCAGCAGGGCTCAGCACAGCCCATCAGTGGTTAAGGCTTCGCACGGGCGAGTAGGGCTGAGCAAAACTTGACAAGGCTGAGCAAGGCCCAGCAAGGCTTGCAGGGCTGAACAAAGCTTGCCAGCGCTGGGCAAGGTTTAGCAAGGGTTCGTCGGGTTTAGAGAGCGTGCCCGTCCTTAGCAGGGCTTCGCAAGGCTCGCCAAGGCTGACCAAGGCTTAGCAAGACTTGGCAGAACTTGCCAGGGCTGAACAGAGCATGCCGAGGCCTATCCAGGCTCAGGGGCTTGCCCGGGCTTAGCAAGGCTTAGCAGAGCTTGGCAGGGCTGATATTCCGAACATTGTGCGGGAATGACACCCTGGAGGCATTTTTTCTGCTGATTGGCAGTTCCCTGAGATATACGCAGATCGCGAAAGCATAGTCCACAAACTCCATCTGCGCAGCGATGCCGGACAAGAGGATGAGGAGATTGAGGAAGAGGCGGAATCATAATATAATGAGGAGACCATGAGGCGTGAGCATTTGCATGCCTCGTGCAATAGACCGCATATTCCACAATCCCCTGGCCTTTGAAAACATCGGGGCCTGGTGCGCAAAGGCGCTGCTGCTGGGGAGGAGGAGGAGGAGGAGGAGGAGGAGGAAGAGGAGGAGGAGGAGGCTGCTGTTGCTGCGCCCACTGCTGAAACAACCCGAACTTCTTGCCATCGTCCATGGGTGCCGAGCCGCCACCGTTTTTACCAGCGCCGCTGCCCGTGCCATGCCGCAGTGCCCCGATCCCCGAGATGGTGGAAGAAACTGGAGATGCGGCCGACGGCAGTGAAGATGTCCTTCAAGTGAGCACCTGGGAGCCAACCAGGGGGGGAGCGCGTGCCCTTCTGGCAAGCACGGAAGTTTTGAGGCGTTTCTTCGGCCACATCGAAGTTCCAAGTGCCAGGTTCGGAATGTTAGCCAAAAGGGCTCCGACGGAGGAGGAGGAGGAGGAGGAGGAGCAACAGGAAGACGGAGAGGGGGATGCTATACCAAGCGGAAGACACGAAGGTGTTAAGATGATGACGAGAAACGTGAGAGGGATCAGTAGGAGGAAGAGAAGGACGAGGGAGGACGATGATGAAGAAGAAGAAGACGATGTTGATGATGCTGACGATGATGATGCTGTTGATGCCGCTGATGATGATGATGATGATGATGATGATGATGATGATGATGATGATGATGATGATGATGGTGATGATGATGATGATGATGATGATGATGATGATGATGATGATGATGATGGTGGTGGTGATGATGATGGTGATGATCATGATGACGATGCTGGCGATGATGAGGGGGAAGAGGAGGAGGAGGAGGAGGAGGAGGAGGACTCGCAGGCAGTGGTGCACGTGGCGTATGACTTGTTTACGGAGCGTGACACGCTCCTGCGGCTTGTCGCGGAGGCGGGAGAGGCGGCGCTGGAGCACGCGCCCGAGGAGCTGCAGGACAGCCGCGAAGAGCAGGGGGAGGAGGACTGATAGGGGAAGGAGGTCCTGTCAGTCAAGTTACTGCCACACGAACCGCCACGAGGCCCCTCTTTGGCCCCCCGAGCGCTCGTGTGCAGGAGGAGCGTTCGAAAAGCAGCCATGGAGATTCTTATCTCTGCGCCCTGACTGTGCCCTCTGGCCCGCGCTTTTTCCGCCCAGCGAACGGAAAGGCGCTCGCCGGGCACGCGGCCCCCGTGCCCGACGACTCTGTGGCAGAGGGCAGTCATGCTTCTCCTCCTCCTCCTCCTCCTCCTCCTCCTCCTCCTCCTCCTCCTCCTCCTCCTCCTCCTCCTCCCCCTCCTCCTCCTCCTCCTCCTCCTCCTCCTCCTCCTCCTCCTCCTCCTCAGGCGGGAGCGGAACTCTCAGAAAATCTTTGGCTACGCTTCGGCGGAAACACCACTCAGCTCGTCCTCGCGCTGTCCACTCTCCGGTTGGCCTGGCCACGGAGAAGCGTGCGCCGAGCCCAAGCGGGAGCGCACCGTTCGCGAGCCATCTGCGCGCTGCTGGGACGCAAACGACACCTCGCCCTCGCCCTTTTCCTTCTCCTCCTCCTCCTCGCCCTTTTCCTTCTCCTCCTCCTCCTCCTCGTCCTTTTCCTTCTCCTCCTCCTCCTCCTCCTCCTCCTCCTCCTCCTCCTCCTCCTCCTCCTCCTCCTCCTTGGGCGCTGCGGGGACGCGCTGCTTGTGCGCGGCCCCGTGTCTGATGATCTGGCGAAGCACGTGCGCGGCGCCCCAAGCGGGAGCGCAATCTGGAGGAGCCCTTTTGTCGGCGCGGAGGGGAGGGCGGCGATTTGAGATTTCCCGGGCCGTGTGCGCCGCGTCGCGTCGCCGCCACGCATCTCGCAGCAACGGCAACCGACCCGCGATGCTGAAAGGGGACGATCGGCGGTGTTGCGCTGTTTGGAAGGTGGGGAAGGAGGGCCCGCTTGCGGCCTATAGCAGGCGGCCGGGGAGTGAATTACGAGCACATGCGGAGGAAGAGGAGGAGGAGGAGGAGGAGGAGGAGGAGGAGGAGGAGGAGGAGGAGAGGGAGGGGGAGGGCAGTCGTCCGGCTTTGGGTTTCCATAGTTTGGAACTATGGGAAAACTAGAATCGGCTCGAAACCCCTTTTCGTGGTGATTCCAGGTTTCCCATAAGTTGCAGGCCTTGGAGGGGGATGGGGCCGAGAACGTCGGTGGTACCAGCATAGTGACCTCGGCGTCTCTCTCCAGCCCGCAGAGAGCTGCGACGCGTGAGGCTGCCGCCAGTTCAGAGAACTTCCCTGGGCGGCTGCCTCCCCAGCTAATGCTCAAAAGGGGCAGCGCCGACTTTCTATTGGCGTCGGCCACGCGCAGGGGGAGGTCGGAGAAGGGGGGAAGGCTTAGAAGCACCCCTGTTTCTTAGAAGGCGCGGGCCTTGTCTGTAGATGTAAGGCCGGCACTTTCTGAGAAGCAGCCTCCTTCTAAGAAGCCTTCCCCCCTCCCCCTACCCCCTTGTGTGCGCCGCCAATGGCTTTCAGAGAGAGGATGGGACGTCCCGCTTGGGGGGTGATGCAAGGGCGCCGGGGTGAGAAGTGGGAGAATAGACGTGGGCCTTCGGGAAGTTTCCATCGTTGGAGGAGGCTTGGATGGGGATGGGCCGGGAGAAGTTCGGAATACTTGGGAGGAGTTGGGGGAGAGTAGGAGTGCGGACCGACATGTTCCACTGGAGTTCTAGACCGAAACCCAAGCGGAATCATCCCTGCGATCTCGAAGTTCGATTGTTGTGTGAGGATGTCCTGGTCGGAGTTGTCCTCCCGACATCGAGTCGAATAGTTTCGATCCGGATCGAAATCGTGTTTTCGAAGTTTAAGCGGGATCGTCACATCGACGAACCGAAGATGTTTGACAGTGCTTCTGAGGAAGTACAGGCGGTATCGTTTTTCGAGTCCGGACTGTGCAATACGATCTGGGTCCAGCTGGGGAAGGTTTGAAGGAGTCTCAGGCGAAATCGTCGCTCACCTTGGCAGCCCGTGTGGCATTCGAACTGTTTCACTCATTGGCCCGAAGAGTCAACTCTGTAGCTCTGGCGTGAGACCCCCCGGAGCAAGCTGTGGCCGAGATCGAAGCGCCGATTCCGCGCGTCACTTCCTCGGAACTGCCATGCCAGCCGAGGTCGAACCAGTCGGGCTGGGTAGTCGATCCGTGCGAAAACACCTGGCGTGGTACAGCGATCGCGGGAAGTCCGAACATGATCCAGATGCTATTCTGCAGTGTGCATGTTGTATGTTTCGTTTCAAACTATCATGCGTTGGGTTCTCGCTTGAATTCATCACTGCTTGCTCCAACCCTCCCCCTCCGCCCCCTCTCTTCCTCGCCTCCTACCTCCTGCCGACATGCTTCCTACATCTTATTTTACTGCACAGGGAGCCGCGAGATATTTCCTCGCGGCTCCCTGTAGGGGCTGTCAGCTGTGCAACCGTCGCCGCTTTCCCGGGCTCTCGGGAGGTCCATCGCAGTGGGGGTGCACGCAGACCTAGACGAGACCTTGCGGCTCCCCTGGGGGATTGCCAAGCCGCCATTGTCTTAGGCTCATGGGATGCCCAGCGGAGCGGAGGAGCACGCGGACCCCTGGTGGGCTGCCAACTGCGCAATTGACACCACTTTCGTGAGCTCCTGGGAGGTCCAGTGGAGTCGGGATGTACGCGGGCCCAGACGAGATCTCGCGGTTCCCTTGGGGGGCTGGTAACTGCGCAATTGTCGCCATTTTCTTTGGCGCATGAAAGGTTCAGCGGAGCGGAGGGACACGCGGTCCCGACGAGACCTCGCGGTTCCCGTGGGTGGGTCAATTGCACAACAGTCGCTATTGTTGTGAAGATTTGACGCGGTCCGATGCTGTTCGGCGACACGGTCAAGAGCGCCACAGACCTTTCAATGTGGTCTCTTGTGCTGCGCGGTCTTACACGCCGGTCGTTGAAAGTAGGTTTTTTGGGATTCCCAGATCCCAATCTACTTCAAGCGCCTTCCTACTTCAAGAATCGACGTGCTTTTGCTGTGTTTTGTTATTCTCTGGGAGGACCTGGACCCAATCTACTTTATCCGCCTTCCTACTTCATGCTTCTACCTACTTCTTCCGACCGGCGTGTACTGATAGTCGACACGCGTTTTGAAAGGGTCGGGCACGTCCCAGGTAATTTGACAATAATGGTGGGGGCCATTAGCTCTGGTCAGGGGCCAGTCGCGTGGGGGAGGGGTGCATATTGATGAGGAGCACGGATGCACCCCTTCCCGAAGGGGAGCAAGGGGGTTGGACGAGGAAGTGCCCCACACTATAGACATCCTGAAGCGCTGGAAGGGTTGCCGCTAGCCTAGCGGCACACCAGCCCCAACAACACTGCTCGGGGCCCGTTGCCCAGAGGGGCGCGCGCAGGGTTGGCTGGACACTCGTAGCGGCGCGGCAGATAGAACGTGAGGGTAGGATGAGGGGGGGGAAGGGGGGAAACATGCAGGGGGAGAGCATGGGGAGGGTCAGTATGAGGAGGATCCGAGGTTGGGGCTCCTGCCCATCTACCGCCTGGGGAGCCAACGTTCTTGGACCTCGTGAGAGACGGCGCATACGGAGATATATCAGAGCGAGGGGGCCGAGGGGTCGTTCACTGCTCCTGGGCGCGTGGCTGAAGTGAGATTCTGCCGTGCGGAGTGTTGTTGTTGTTGGTTGTGTTGTTGTTGGTGTTCATGGTGTTGTTGTTGTTGTTGTTGTTGTTGGTGTTGGTGTTGATGTTGTTGTCGTCGTCGTTGTTGTTGTTGGTTGTATTGTTGTTGGTGTTGATGTTGGTGTTGGTGTTTGTGTTGTTGTTGGTGGTGGTGTTGTTGGTGTTGTTGTTGATGCTGGTGTTGGTGAGTTGTCATTTATGAAGAAGACTTACTGTTGATCCCCCCTCCGGTAACGTGTGTGTTTGTGTGTTTTTCCATTGGAGTGCCCCTCCTGGGGCTCGCACCCTGTTTTGCATCAGGGAAACTATTCCTCCTCTAACTGCGTTGCTGGGCCCGAGTTACTACGACAAACGCTCCCGCCTGATACCTCCTCGCAATATATTGAACAGTCGCGCTCTCGCGCGGGACTTCCTCGCAATGTATGTACGAATCGCGTTCTCGCGTTGGACTTCCTCACAGTTCATTCAGACGGTGCGCCCTCAGCGCTCAAGAATCACGTTCTCGCTTTGGGCTTTCTCAGGATTTACTTGGGAATCGCGCTATCGCTCGAGACTTCCTCGCGATTCATGCAGGACCCACGCTTCAGCATCCCGCCTGCTCGACCTGGTCGCCTGGGCCCGCCTTCCCGACCTGCCCGCTACAGGTTTGCCCACCCGATCTGCCCGTCTGGTTCTGCCACATGTTTTCTGCTCCTTGCCCCCCTCCTGCTAATTTCGACGGTGCTCCATGATTATCCCTCCCCCTTCCACCCGTCCTTTCCTCCCTGTTATTTCGGGGCTACACTAAATGCACATGGCAGGTAAGGAAGATATGCCCCCAAGGGGGTACGATCGAAGACGACGAGGGCGTGTACCGAAGGTTTGGGGTGTACGTAATGGTTGGCACGTGAGCAGATAGGAGCGAACAGACTTACATTGATTGTTGTTGGTGTTGTTATTGTTTGTGTTGTTGTTGCTGCTGTCCGGTTCATTTCTAAGGAATGATTGTTGTTGATCCCCCTGCGCGGTAACCAGCTTATTGTTCAATTCGAGTGTTTCTCCCCTGGTTCGCACCCTGTTTTACTAGAGAGCGCGAGGTGTCACCAAATTGGGTCCCTCGCCCCGCGTTCACAACAACAATCATTTTAAGACTGTTGACTCTTACTGGCTCGCATGTCTTGCATCCTGTATACCCCCAACCCTCGATACCCGCCCACTTCGTCTTCGATCGCACCCCCTTTGGGGGGGAATCTCTTCCTTGTCGGCCACTGACTGAAGTGCGAGGAGCTCTCGAGCCAGAGCGCCGTCCC